GAAAATTTAGAATTATATCATGTAAAAAATTAAACGATTCTTTGTTGATAAAAATTTCAAGTTTTTTTACTTGAAACCTCACCTGTAATTTTCTGACAGTATACTAGAACGAGTAGAAGGCCAATGGCTGAATTTTAAATTAATATATACCCGATAAAATTTCTGGCTGAATTCATCCTGTCATTTTTATAAAAAATACAATGAGTGTAAAGTGATAATTTTTGTCTAGAAATTCTACAAAAATCCTTCAACCAATCACTTTTTTAATCAATGAATATTTTCAATCAATTCAATCAATATTTCCCTAGAATTTCCCAATTCATTGATAAATAAATCTCCTAAAATTGTTTAACAAAAATATACTTAGCAAAGCACGAAGCAGAAGTGAGAATCCAATATTTATTGAGAATAGATCCACTGCAGAAATGAAAATACTCCTCGGTGTGATTAGGATCCTGGCTTTGTCGAAAGGACACCAGATACGGATACTTGTGCTCTGGTGCCTCTGTACCACCTGTCATCCGGCCAACGCGTCCACCTGCACACGAAATCGATCAATCAGTCAATCATTACTAGGACGGTTTGTTTGCATGATCTGCGATAAACTACCATTGGCCTGAAGAAAGAGACTTAGGAGCAACGGCAACCCAATCATTTCCACCATGATTAATGCTAGCTACTTCGCAGACGCTCCAAGTTTTATACTTATCCTAATCAGTGTTTGTCATTTCGATTGATCAACAACAGGTGGAAAGGGAATGGGACGAGAATTGCGTGTTGTCATACCAGTGATTCTCATCTTTGAGAATAGAAAAAAGAAGTTTCTCAGAAAATCAATGCCATAGGATTGTACGATATGGCGGAATAGTTGTCATGGACAAATAGTGGATTTGCTGAGAGAAATATTCAGTTAAATTACAGTACAGTTCACGTAATATGCAATGAGCTATTATTTCCCGAGATATTTCCCTCGTCGATTTTGTTGCATTGTAATTGTTCCCCTTTTTTCTGGCATTTTTTATTGAATTTCCCCTTCTGGGGCGCGAGAGGTGGAGTCACAAGAATCAATATTCATGTATTGTACTTATCAGTTCCCAGTTTAGACGATCGATGCCAATCGATATGATATCAATATTTTGGCTGAAGGAAATGTACAGTATCATTTAATCATCGATCGTTCGATAAATCGTAAAGAGGCTTTCTATTTGAATCATCGCCAAGACTTATGGATTGAGTCC